CTGAACCCAATATTCTGAAGATTGGCTTCTCGCGATGGTTTCGATTGGCTAGCCAGCTGATCATGACGTATAGAAGAATGACGAACGCGGTCCGCAAGGTAGACAGGAAGAAAAAGAGCTTTTGCTTGTTCGGGTTTTTTCTGGCACTGAAATTACAGGCCCAGCGGATGAGGTAGAGGAGGAATAGGGCAGTCAAACCCATTGCGGCATCTATTTTTGTGTCCGGTAGATGTTTGAAAGTATTGATGATCACCATGAAAGTAGCATCACGAGTGTCGAAACCACGAATGCCCATCATAGAAGGAACTTGGCCGGCAGCAATGCTAATGGCAGAGCCTGTCATAAAAGCAGTGATGGCGGTCAAGGGGATGAAATCCACGATCCAACCACATCGGATCAGGCCGATGAAAGTGATAATCCCGCCACAGATGATCGCAAGGGCACTCGCAACAAAATGCGCTGGGATCTCCGGGTTATTTTCCTTGACCCTGAGGACAACCTGGCCAACCAAAGTTGACATTACCGCGACAGGCTTGGATCAAATTAGCTTCTAGAGTAGCAAGCAAGCGACATGGCTAAAGACTCACTCCGATTGTAATATCCTTCGAGGTTGCAAAAAACCAGTAGATTAGTACGCCCATGAATGACGAATACAGGCCAAACTGAGGTTCTAATTCAGCTAGCTTTGCGTATGCCATGCTTTGAGGCACGACAACTGCGCCCACAGTGATGCCTATAAAAGGGTTATTAAAATCACATACGTTCACTTATTATGGTATAGTATGGTAACGGAACTTACCAGCCACAAGGTCTCCAATCAACCATTGAAGGTTGTATCGGGTAATCCAGCGCAAAAAGGGGAAGAGATTGATAAAGTATTCTACAACCTGCTGACCAGTAGGGAGCAATTCACGCAACCAATCTGCCGAGGATGGTTCTTCTTCGACATAGGCATAGGTATCCGATGTGCCAACAGAAAACGTTGATTCCCCGCGGGTAACAGGGTCTGCGTCGATGGGGTCCCGATAGTTCTTTTTGATACCCACCCATTTGGCAAGGGTATTTCCAACTTTAATTGACGTTTTACCCTTAGAGTCCGCCATGCCGCCGTTTTCGAGACAAGTATGAGGAACGAGCAAACGAATTGGGCTCCTGGAGATTGGGTCGCGGATGGACGAATCTCTTGGAATGGTAGACTCGAAGTGAGTGTGTAACCTGAAGGTGTGTGCGGACCTAGGTATGTGTGTGTAGGTATGTGTGTCGACTTAAAGTAATGGGAACGACAACCGACAGGGTAGCAAAAAGAAACAACGAAGCGAGAAGAGTAAATATTTATATGGATATGAAAGGGCTTTGGAGAATGGTATCGAATCGATTAGAAATAAAAAAGAGAAAAAAAAGCCAGCTTTAAAAGGAGCAATGGCTCACAATTTCAGGATATCAGAATCAGGAGTCCATTTTCGGCTTGGAAGGAATATATGGAAGGAGTAAAAAGGAAACCAGGCAGTAAGTACACTTGGGTTCTAAGAAAATAAATATCAACCCTACTAATGCCGGAATTGATGACAAAAGGACCCCCTTCAAAGAGAACAAGTAGGATCTGTAAACTCGGGAGGGAATATGTAAGTGTAGAAGAGGGAGTATATTAGAGAGCGTGTCGAGAATGAAGAAAACCCGAGATGAAGAGTTTAATTAATATTCTTTCCTTCTTTTTTCCTTTCTCTTTTCTCTTTTTATTTTTTATTTATTTTGTATTTGTATTATTTTCCCCGTTCGAATGGTTGTAAATTTGTGATGAGACGATATGGTTGACAAAGCAGACTCGTCAGGCCAGGGCAGCATCACGCAATCGTCAGCGAAGTGGAGAGAGCGCCGCAAATTCCAAGCTCCTTGACGTTACCAGGGTCGAGTCGGTGTTTTTTAGAAGCTGTTGCCCCAAGACAATAGATAAAGTTAAGTTCAAACTTTGGGAGAGGAACCAACTCTGAGCTCCAAAAAGACTCTGAAGCTCCCAGCCAAGCGATCAGAAGTTAAGGCCCGAAAATAGAGGAGGGAGGGGGGGACAGGATCGACATTCATATATATATATATACCTATTTATATATATGTCGTATTTTTTGCACCGCTTTTCCTTTCTCTTTTCTTTTTCCTTCCTGGTTCTTTTCCTCCTGGCATTTCTGCCTCTTGCCAGCGCTGACCCGCGGACAGGGTAAATGTCCATCTCAACCGCATCCTCAGCATCCGCATAAATTGTCATTGGTTAAGCTAAACCTGCCGATGATGATATATATGCCTGTTGAACATATGGAACACGCACGTGGGAAGCAACGGGGCCAACTCAAAAAGAGATACTGCAGTGTGGCTGGAGGAATCTCAGCTATGTGCGATGTTATCATCACCCGGATAGAGATATATTCATCGACTGGGGTTAATAAATCTACCCGTCCGAGGATTATTCTTGTCGCGTTTTCCGCAGCCTATGAAAAATGGAAGCCACCGGCAGCACAGCACCCCAGCACCCCAGCACCCCAGCACCACACCATCTGACATGACTGTGGGATCCAAGCTAACCACAGTAAAGGGCTCGGGGAAGGAGAGGGGAGGGTTATCCCGCCAAAAGGCTTGGGGACCCTTCACACATGCGAAAACCCTTGTCATACATACCCCGTCATTCATATCAAAATCCCGAGGGCCTACAACAAGCGTAACAAAGCACAAACCGGGATATGTTAGTGTTTGTTTGCTGGATGCTGGCGGGCTTGGAATTATGATATCATTTGTGTCGTCAACAACCTAACTACGGAGTACTCCGTACTGTACTTGTGTAGGAAGTTGTGTGGAGAGGGACAAGGGTTGGCACCGACTGCGACCGGATGGTGTGGCTAGCTAGCTCCCAGCTCAGCCCTCATGCTTGGTTTGAGGGATGATTTTTTTAGGGATCCGAATCAAAATTGCAGCTGAGTTGTCAGAGAACCACGCAGCAGCAATAGTAGTAGCCTAAATAATGGTAAATGTTTTGATATCTCTCCCCCCCGTCCACGAAGCCATAAACGCATAAAACCAGCCGCTTCCGGCTGCAAAGAACCTTGGAAGCCGTAGTTCGCTTAGTGTTCCGTAATTGGACTAGCGACCGCCATGGCCGGCGGCCAATCACAAGCTGATGGAAAGACGCCATATCAACCTGAGATGATGAGGAAATGCATACTATCTCTATCTACAAAAAAATATTAGAGCTGAAGGACTTGAAGAAACCAACCATCCTGCAACAATTATCAATATAGTTATCAAGAATTATCAGTTATTATTGATTTCAAGGGTGTGCCGCGCTACGCTCCCTCAGGGATAACTCAGATCGGGCCCGGGATGCCAGATAATCTCGATCGACAGCTGGTTACCGGATTCTCGCCCGGAAGAATGGCATTGTCCGTCTAGACTACATAGAAGATGATTCCGCCAGCTCTACGGAGTATTGCGTATGAGAAATATTTCCAAAATAAATTCAGAATGATCATCTCTCTCTAACCCGTCCCTGTCGTCATCACTCTTCCTCTTCCTTGCGTTCTCTCAAGGCCAAAGCACCAATGATTGCTCATCCCAAAAAGCCACAAAAAATGATTTTTGAGGCTTCGAATTGCGAAACAGCTGTGCAAGTAAAACGCATAGCGTTCGCAAGGCCCCTTCTCAAACTTCAGGTCCCTTTCCCGCGGCCAATCCTTGCTCGTTCTCGTGCTTGGACAGGCGTGCTGGGAACGGCTCTTCTTGCATACGCCCCGCCTTGGCGGCCCCTTGCCCTGGAAACAGATATGATTGACACAGTGAAGATGCCATTCTTCTGATGATCACGAAAACAGAGACAAAAAAGCGATGCCGAAATGACACCAATTGACTAGTTACCGTCGCCAAGTCCCGAAACCATCGCACCTTTCTGCTAACTCGCCCTCCGGATTATCTCTCATCGTCCTGTAACCCCTCACTTGTGCCGGACCTTATCGTGACAAGCAATGGCCAACCATATTGATTCTTCATCTCCAACTACTTTTTCTGCTCTGTCATATAGCATATATCTGTGTTGCATGAGGTGGAGCTGTGAGACCTTTTCATAACAGAAGCTCTCTCTCTCTCACTTGTCCTTTTTCGCATGGCAATGGCAAATCCCTTCTCGCTTGACAACCAATATCTCTCCATTATCGCTTACAGGCCCGAGATTGCCTCATAGAGCCATATTCTGTGTCAATTGGGAGCATGTTTGTCAAACCTATACATGCAAAACTAAATTGAACGGGTTAGTTGAGGAGATTCTATCCATTTGATCTTGAACACATGACACAACAGGAATAGGAATGTCGATCCCAAGGTCGCCGTTTCATCTCACTACCCCGTGCGACGTGGGATGTCGATGGATGTTTCTTGTATATGCATTTTGGCTCTAAGGTGCCGCCTCTCTCTCTCTGCATCCAAGTTGTACTGTACAACATCTTGGAAACGGAAAATTGATCAACTTCTCCCCATTTTCGGGACCACCGTCGCAGCATCTGCTACTACGGAGTCTACACAGAGTCTACAATTGGAGATTAAATGGTGCAAAAGGGCCACAGAACCAAATTTTTCATGCTGGAAGAAATTTCTCTCTATCCTATGATCTCCCACCCCCGCATCCCTACCATTTGTTAGGGTTTGGCAATGCTGGCACTTCCTAACTCAAGGCCAAACACTCCAATTATATAGGATTAGATAATGCTGGCCAGCAACGCTGTCAGAGGAATCATACTCGATACACCTGGTACACTCATGTCGTCCAATTGCAAAGAGATGAAAAGAGCAGCGGAGGGAAATTACTATTGGAGATGCAACGGTTTCATTTTGATAGCTATTTGATATGAAAAGAACCAATGCTGGCCCTCCGCCGACATAACGCTGTGCGACGAATATCAAAACTCTGCTAGGATGATAACCCGTTAAAAATAAAAATAAAATAATAAAAAATAAAAATACTAACAATCCTTCCATGTATCTAAATCTTAAGTAAAAAGTGTTCTAAACTCTAGCATTCCCACCACATAGCTTCTCTCCTCTCACTATCCAACCATAGTCTGTCATACTCCCTTCTGCCCTACAGATATCCCTCAAAAGGAACCAGGCCATCTGTCGTATCATGGTTTCTCTGTTTGTAAATTCCTAATCGATCGTATCTGAACCACCACCACCACCCCCCCAGGGCCCATCCGGACAGAACCACCAACCCATCATCCCCTCACTCCTCCTCATTCCCCTCTTCACCTCCTCTCCCCCTCTCTCTTTATCTATGTGCGTTCAAGATCCACGTCAAATTTCAATTTGCGCAACCTTCTGCTCTCTCCCCTCTCTCCCCCGCCCCCTTTATACGACATCCAAGCCTTCCCTCAAAATCCCCCTCACCCTCACCTCACCACACATTACCCGATGAAACCCTCGATCAAAAACCCGGGTTGAAAAGAGGGGATCTAGATCACATTTTCTACGCACTGTCATACATGTACATGTACAGACAAACACTTATATATATATATATATACATGTCGCAGTAGCAGCTTAGATCCCCACCCGCCATGCCGGCGAGTAGAAGGGAGGAATGAAGAAAAAAGAGGAAGGAGAAGAAACGAAGGAACGATCAGATATGTAAGGAAGAAGAAGAGGAACGGATAGGGTAAAAGAGGCGACATTGTACACCACCAGTCGAGTGCAGTTCACAATTCTCTCTGTACGCGGTAAAAGAGAGCAGCATGTGTAGTTATTTATCGTATCATTACACAACAGGTTGTGAAGGGAATCCAACGCTTTTTTCCCCTTTCTAGAACCCTTCCAAGGGCCCTTCCCCTGCCGGATTCCGAGCTGGCCGCGGAGAAAGATAGAAACGGCGCTTCTCCTGCTTCTATTTTCATTTGCTCTATTTCTCTTTTTGTAAAAAGCACTACTGGCAGTGGTGGTGGTGGTGGTCCATGTAGTAGTAGCCTGACCTAATACTGCATCAGTTCAATATCACGCTCAGGAGGCGATCAGGGAAAACCATGCGGTTCTACTGGTCGGATATCCACGTAATACATAGTTCCTATATACACACCTGGATACTTAAAGTACTCATATGGATCAAAAGAAGTAAAACTCCCGCCCGTATCATATGGCTTTCATTGGTTTGAATGACAGCCGGTAGAACTCTAGACTCCAGTTTTATAGTCGGGCATACATATTTTACATCCATATTAATTTTGCTCTTCACAATACAATCCTAGCATTGGAAATCAATATATAGTTATACCTAGGTATATATCAACCCCCTTGTTTTACATTAACTTCTGTCTCCCATTCCTTTAATTTTTCTCTCTTCTAGGCTCCCATGCCAAGTGAAAAACTATATTTACATATATATATCCCTCTATTTGTTCCCTAAGATCTTGATGTGAGTCAATCTCATACGATGCTACCATGCACTGTCCATCGTGCCTCTGTACGCCATGCTGTGCCCGATCATTCATTCATCCATCTCTCTCGAGGTTCTGGACACATAGGAACAGGGGCGGAAGGGAAAATGAAAGAATGAAAGAAAGAAAGAAATCTGGAAATGGCCGCCATATGTATATATCTATTCTATATTACGAAGATGATAACAAAATTGGACTGGAAGGAAACTAACAGCTAAAAAAAAATATTCGATGAAGCACACTCACACTCTCTCTCTCACACACCACCTGTTCCGTACAACGTTCGTTAGCTAGCCAGAAACGACCAGACACATACTGACCTACAAATATACTGACCTACATATATAAGGCACCGAGCACGAACGAACAAATGAAGATGACCCGGGGGCGCGCGGGGTAATCATGAAGTGACATGAAATGTTAAAGGGCTAGACCAACGCAGGTGGGAGACACTTTGGCCTTCTTAAACCTGGATTTATTATTAAATATTGGTTTGGTGGAAGGGAGGTGTTGAAGGAGGAGAGGAGATGAGGGGGGGATTAAGATATTAGAGAGGAGAGTACTTTGCACAATCCAATCCGCCATTTGGTGCAAGAATATTTGCTCCGGTTAGCTCCTTTGTTCTTCTCTTGTTTATTGTTTGTTGTATTGTTTTAGAATAAGGATAGGCAAAGAATAAGAAACGGAGCGGAACTTTTTCGTCATTTTGAGCAATTGTAAGTTTTCTCACTGCTGCTGCTTGCTGATTTTGGGGTGAATAACGGCTGAACGGAGGGCAAGGATTTTTTTTAAGAACAGGAAGACGGATAAAAAGTTATGAGAATAAAAAGGTAAGTGAAATGAAATTAAAAAAAAAATCGAAAAAATCGTCTAATCCATCCATTTCATTTCAATCCATCGTTAAACCAGTTATATAAATAAAAAAATTTGCAAAAAAAGGGAAAAAAGGGAAAAAAGAAAGGATAAAAAAGCCTCTCCCCACGTGCAGTGCGGTGGACGTTATGTGATGATGATGATGATAGCAATAGGAAAGGAAATATAGAAAAAAGTTATGAATAGAAGAACAGACATAGAAAAGAGCATGAAACTAATCGGAGGTGCTTCGGAAGACAGAGGGATGAAGTATAAATAACGGGAGAGAAAGAGACGATTAAGAGATTGGATAAAAACAGCCCTAACCAGCTCTTGTAGCAAAACATGGTAAAAAAGGAAGAGGATGAGGGAAAATCATTGGATGGGAAGCGGGCGTGGGATGATAAGTATTAAACCAGCCAGATGAAAAGGGTGGGAACCAGGAAAATAAAAGGAGCAGAAGAAATGGTTTCCCTTTTTCTGACGCTAAGTCCGCTCGACTCCCCTTTTGCATTACTGGAAAGCCCTCCTAAAAAAATGCAAGCCTCCCACAAACTCCAAACTCTCCCGCAAAATGTCGGGAAGAAAACTTCTATTGAGACGCGCACTGCATCCGCTCAGCACCGGGAGGAATATCATCATCGTCTTCATCACCCATGTGTACAGCTCCATGCGCTCTCGCCCGGCCACTATCCTCAACATCCTCTAGGTTGAAATCTTCCACCATCGAGTCCGCAGGGGGCTGCGGTTGTAGGGGACGGGGCGGCAGCACCTGCTCGAGAAGTTCTACGTTACGAATATCTTCCTTTTCGGGGAACTTGACGTTGAATTGGATGTATAAGTTGCCGAAATCGTGGTGGCGGAAGGAGGGCATTCCCTGGCCCTTGATAACTTTGATTTGCCCTACAGAAAAAAAAAAAAGAAAAAAAAAGGTTAGCTCAAGCCATAGATGAAGGAAGTGGATGGGAGTAGATCGGGAGGGTTGTGGTGGAAGCTTACCAGGCGTGATTGGTTCGCCGGGAGCGATTTGTACTGTCAGCCATCGGTCGTCCAGATGTTCGACATTGATTGTGCCGCCAGCGAGAGCAGTTAAGAGATCAATATCAGCCTGGTAGAAGAGGTCGTCATCTTTGCGCTGGAATCTTGGATGTGGTTGCTGGTCTATTTCGAACTGAACATCACCCGTTATAACGCCTGGCGCCTGGTCACCTTCACCACGGAAATCAATCTTGTGCCCTGGCTTAACACCCCGGTCGATATGCACATGTAGGACTTTTCTTTCAATAATGACTTTGTTGCCTTTGCACTTCTTGCAACGATCACGTTCGTTGATGACCTGTCCCGTCCTGTCGCAGTCCGAACACTCCACAACGAATCGCTGAATCATAGGCCCCATCTGGCGCATCATGGTCCGTTTACCCGTACCACCGCAGGGACCACACTGCTTGACAGATCCTGGCTTGCCGCCAATTCCATCGCATCCCGGACAAATAACGGATTTCTTCAAAGCCAACTTTGAGATCTTGCCTCGGTAGATATCCTCCAGAGAGACTTTGAGGGGATGGACAATGGTGCGCGCCTTCTTGGGGCCCGTGTCTCTCATTCCACCACCAAACATACCACCAAAGGCGCTTCCACCAAAGAACTGGGCGAAGAGGTCTTCCGCCTGCATTCCACCTCCGGCACCGCCTTGCTCCAAGCCTTCTTCGCCATACTGGTCGTATATCTGCCGTTTCTGGGAATCTGAGAGAATTTCATAGGCGTGAGAGAGATCCTTGAATTTCTCTGCAGCTTCGGGATTATGGGCATTCTTGTCTAGAAGAGTGAAAATGCATCAGAATTAAGTTAAAAGAAAGGCTACATCGTGTAATATAACAAACAGTTGTAACGCACCAGGATGATGTTTCAAAGCACCCTTCTTATAGGCGGTTTTCAGTTCCGCATCAGTAGCGTTGGGGGACACCTAATCGTTTCAAAGTTAGAACGCCTTTCCATATCTTGAATGTGCACGCTGCAACACTTTTCCTCAAGGGAAATAGCAAAGGTTCCACGTACCCCTAGGATATCATAGTACTTGGTTTCCTTCACCATGTTGGCGCAAGTCCAAAAATATGCTTTTCAAATTGGGGAAAAGGGAAAACGGAGGAGAGGAAGATGAGGGATGTAGTCAGGTATTGAGGCAAACAAGCCGTTTGTTATCGACCTGCTTCTTTAATTTTCAGAGGGGCGAAATCTCATACGGCTTGAATGAACGGTTACAAGGAGGAGCGTGGTGTGGTGAATTGGTGTGGATTCGGCTAAATAGATGTGATGAAGGGAGGTAATTCTTGAGAACAGGAACAAAGGGTATCTCAACAGAAGGTTTTACTTTGCACCGCACTGGTAGCAAGGGATCAAAGATAATGAGGATGGGAGCGAAGTGAGGAAGATGGGATGGTGTAGGTGGTTGATCTCAGAGGGGGAAGACACGACGAAGAATAATAAATGTTGGTTAAGGAAAAAAAAAAGCTCTGGGGTGATAGACCTTGATGTATTGGGCTGGTAACAGGGCAGATTTTTGCCTGGTACCGTACAACGGTAATGGCAAAAGAGCGTAAAATTGAAAGATTACACACAAGGTATCTCGAAAACACCGCCGACTACTTTCATTTTCATACAGTAACGATATCACCCTCTTTTCCTTTGAAACTGAAGGAATATGAGCTTTAGGTTAAGGGGATAAATAGTACTGGTTATATCTAACATTTGCTCTTATCTTACATTGCTAGGCGCTTCTATCCGAAATATAGATGGTGTTTATTGTATTCACAGTATTTGCGGTACCTGAAAAATACCAAATATTCCAGAGCCCCAAACCGGGGTCTTACTGCATCGGGCAAGGCGCTCCCTTCTATACGGGGCTTAGCGCCGCCGAGCGCTGATTCCGAAGCTTTCGAAGTGTTTCCATCGCTGTTGGGCGCTGCTCCAGGGCTGTCTCTAGCTAGATCCACGCGTTTCTGCGGCCTTCCATGATCCCGTCGCCCACTGTTGTTGCCTTGGCTGAGCGAGAAAGTGGAAGAATAATAGAGAAGAAAACAATCAACGCAGAGTACGAGTGGCGACGAGGAAGGGATTGAACACTACCACATAACTCCTTTTATATTTTTGTTATTTATGTTGATGATCTACAGCCAGGATGTTATTTTACGCCGTATGTATTTTTGATTGTCTAGCCTCGGTATTAAAGTAGTAGTCTAATCGTGCTGCTTACTCACTCACCTCTAGTGAGTTGTGCCATATCAAAACTTGACCTCGCTAAGTGCGCCACTTGACCTCGTTACATAATCATGACCCTGACCTCGCACAATACAGTAATAATTGTTGGCCCTTACGGCCGTTGCGGTTAGCGATCCCACTAGATCACGTGACCCACCACTATATTATGTTCCTGTAGATAGATCTATCAATACAATCTTCAACTATTCTACAGATTATAGCCTGAATGACATGTTTTTCTTTTTAGAATGTTGTACTAACATATTTTTAATATGAATAGTTCATCTTTTTTGAAAAGACTCTTACTCTTTATTAGAGATATTTCATTTTCTCTGAATCTGCTAATCAGTGAATTTATATACTTTATTTTTTTTAAGAAAGTATATTCTTCATTATGAAGAATATCACTTTTTATCTCTTTTTTTTTATATATCTAGAAGAAGCAGAGTTATCTTGATATAAGTAATATATCTGTTACTTCAGAGTTCAGCTCAAGGCTCAGAATCACATACTTCACTAGATAACTCATTGATAGAATAATTACTTATTATAAGAAGACTTCTGACTTATAAGATAAGACTGAGATCAGTTTTTATCAGAGTATAAAATTTAATAATAAGATAATGAAGAAACTTCAGAATAAAGAAAAGCAGAGTTAATATTCATCTATAGAATCTGTTTATTTCAACTCTTTAAATTCTTCATTATCTCTTATTCTCAGAATACTGACTTTTAATGATAATTTGAATCAATCTATCTATTACACTGCAGGCAATCTTATAAATCTTATATAGATAATACTATGAAATCAGATAACTGTAGCTGAAACAACTTAATATCTTACTATATCTGTATAAAGAGACACTATAAGAGATGAGTTGTGAGAATATCAGAAGAAAGTTAAATATACATTAGATATTAAATCAGTGATTATATTTGATAACTCTAATTATAAAGTCTGATATATTAATATATTGACTGATATAAAAGTTATTGATAAAACTGATATTCTATTAAGAACTTAATGAGAATTTTCTTTTATACATTATATTAACTCTGAGAAGTGAAGAATCTGTTTTAAGTCTCTATATAGATATATGCTATTAAGTCTTATTGAAAATGTTTGAATCACTATTAAAATCTTGAAAGCTGATAATACTGCAGCTCTGTAAGACAAGATTAATATTGAATATATAATATCACTGACAGAAGAACAAGTTAATATCTTTAAGAAATTGATAAAATTATAAGTTAAGAAGAATGATTATCTTACTTTTCAGAGATATTTTCACTATTTTATTATCTATTATAAAGAGCTCTGTCAGAGTACTGAGAATGTATATCATAATCTTTTTCTCAACAATCTACAAGATTATCAAAGACTGTTTGTTAAGATACATTTGAATAAGTTTTTCTTCACTAATCAGAAACTCATTATTAACATTGATATTGATAATTTGATGAAGTAACTGACTAATTATACATTTAAGAAGATTACTACTGAGTAGAAAAAGCAGTCTTAGACTGATTCTATGACTGTGAAGAAGAATAAGAATAAAGATAAGAATAAAGATAAGAATAAAAGTATATCTGTATAAAAGTGTATTCACTGCAGAAGATATGAATATACTGTTAACAGATATTTCATCTTACACTCTGATAAAAAGAAAAAGAAGAATGACAAGAAGAATGATAAGAAGAAAGAGAAGAAGAATAACTTAATGAGTTCTCAATCAGCAGTAAATATAGTAATTACAAAGATTGAGTTCTATTTCTCTTTCACAGTCACTGAAAAATCATTCTCTAGATCTTAGTATTTGAATATATATGTAAGTCTGAATATAACAGATGAGCTTCATTCTTTTTCAAATATTAAATCTTTTAATAATAATATCTCTGTTAATTCTGTGACTGAGAGAACTGAGTTTATTAAGAAGATTGAGACTGTTATCTTGAAGATTAAGAGTGATAATATTAACTTACAGAATATTCACTATATTTCTAATATTACAGTTAACCTGCTCTCATTTGCAAAGCTTGAAGATCAGAGATTTCAATTTACATTGTCTTTCACTATTCTCTCATTTTTCATTTGCAGAGCTTCAAACAGTGTTATTTTTCATACAGTTCAAACTGCTTAGAATAATATATATAAGATTGATGAGCAGAAGTTCAATGAGGATTTCAATCATTTAAACAGAGCAGTCAAGTACATTGTGATGATATCTCATAAGTATAATTTTGATTAAAAAGTTGATCTTTCTGTGACTGCTGCTACTACTGTTAATAATATTAATTCTGTGAATATGAAAACACAGACATCAAAGATATCAAAGACTCTTTTGAATTAATATTATAATCTCAGTCACATTCACACTGATGCTATAATTACTATAGCTAAGAATTCTCATACTGAAGTCACAATTAAAGATTCTAAGACTAAGTTCTTTTGTGAGAAATGTGTTAAGACTGATATGACATGAGATTATTTGAAATCACTGATACCTAAATCTATTCAATTCATTGAGAAGATTCATATTGATCTTATAGATAATAAATGTATATTGAAAGACCTCTCTGATCACTTCTTAGAGTTCTGTCAGAAAATGAAATACTGAATGCTTATTATCTGTGATGCAACTCACTATCATTAAGTGTATTTTTTAAAGTTCAAGAATGAGGCTGTTCAATACTTTGAGTTATGACTTAGATTTATGAATAATCTCAGATATACAGTCTTTGCTTTTCTACAGACTGATATTGATGATGTTTTCTAATTCACATGTATACACACAGTTATGAATTCATATAATATTAAATAAGAATCAACAGTATTACATTCATTACATCAGAATAATGTTTCTGAATATGAGATCTGTACTATTATGAGATGAGTTAGAGCTGCTCTTTTAAAAGATAATCTTTCTAAGAAGTTCTGAACAGATATTCTAGAGACAGTGATTACAATAATCAATAATACTCTCATATCTACAGTTCTTTACAACTCAAAATTTTGATCCTCTACTACAGAGATTTCTGTGATTTCAAGTTCATATAAGATTTCTTGATATGCACTTATGAATATCTCACTGAATGTAAGGCATTTTCACTGATTAAATACAGAGGTTTTTATTCACTTGCATGAATCTCAGCAGTCTGCAGATAAGCTTTCTTCATGTGCTAATTTCTATCATATTATTGAATTCAGTGATACATTGATATATTGCCTATGACATTCTGAATCTGATAAGATTATTGTCAGTAGTGATGTGAGATTTCTAATCACTGAAAAACTGGTTATCACATCTGTGACACTCATTAATAATGCTGATGAACTGAAATCAGAATCAGAACCTGATATTTATCTAATTGATAATAAAGATGCTTCTGATATTGATAATTCAAATTTCATATAATTGTGACCTGTGAAATCGCTGACTACTTACACTCTGAGTCTTATTACAGATAACCTTCTGAAGTTCTACAAGAATGTCACATCTCAGTCAGAGAGAGTAGAAGATTATTGAAAGAAGTTCATACAATGCAAGATTACTGATCTGAAGAGACATAATATATAAAGTTTAATTTCTAGATCTGACATTCTGAGAGATGAATTAATTACTTCAGACTGTTGAGTGTTTCTTAAGAAAGATAGACCTGTGAATCTGAATACTGATTCTAATGATATTCTTAGAAAATCACATTAAGTGATTTGTGATAACTGACTTAAGAAGAATTCTAGAGAAGAGATCTATACTTCAGTTATCACTGATACTGCTAATTATATTCTTTTTACAATAGCAGTACTACATGGTTGAACACTCTGTCAGATGAATATAGTGATAGTATATCTTTATAAGCATCTCACTAAGAAGATCTATATAAGACAATTCACTGAATTTAAGACAGATTTACTGAAAATGCTTGTCTGTGTGATTGAGAGTAGTCTATACAGTCTGAACTCTGTGATAAAGATCTAATATAATTACTTAATAGCTCTGTTGAGTAATCTTGAATTTATAGTCAGTGCTCATAATCTGACACTCTGATATTATATATTTAGATATCATCTCTATATAATAATCTATGTTGATAATCTCAACATCATATTTAAAGCTTCTGAGAATGCTGATTGACTAGTGAGTATACTTAGTGAGAAATTGAAAGTCAAGAATCTACATCAGTTAATCAAGTATTTGAGTATAAAGATTAATTGTTTAAATAAGAAAATTGATTTAATATATTATCAATATATCAAATGCCTTGTTGAAGATTTCTATCTTGATGATACAGCTGTTGTCAGAATATCAATGAAGAATGAATTCTGTATTGATGATTTCTCTATATCTGAGAAAGAGGCTGATTTCATAATTCAGTGATATCAACATAATGTGAGTTACTTGCAATATCTCACAGTTAAAACATATTCTGATATCACTCACACTGCCTCACTACTCACTCAATGAAACATTGATTCAACACCTCAATGTTGAAAGGCTCTATTACACATTATACATTATTTGAAAGAGATCATGGATCTGGGCATTTTCTACGAACGCGGCCCATATGAGGGGTCCGTTCC